GTATTCCTGTGCTCCCTGGAAGCTCTCAGAGATGGCTAAGTGCCTTTGTTTGTTTATTTCACAAGTTGATATGTCTCCTGATTCACTAGACTTTAGATGGCTTACATGGCTAGAGCAATAAGCTTAAATACATGTAAAAATGAAATAAAATCGCAGCATTGTGCCCCAAATGGCGCTCTCTGCAAGCAGAATCATCCTTGTCAAATGCTCTGCAAGAAAGGAATATTTTCACTGCTCTTCTGAAGAGTAACACAGTGGGTGACAGGCTGATCTTGAGGGGACAAAGCGTTGCATAGTGAGGGGACTGCCATGTCAAAGGTCATCCAAGTTCCTGCTCTCCCTGGGGCGCAAGTACTCGGAGCCTCCCCTCCCAGATGAATCTCATAAGGAGGGCAGATTCCACCTAGAGTAGATGGCTCCAAAGGTAGCAAGGACCCAAGCCATTTAGGTGATACATTCATGTATCTGAGTCACTGTTGTTTAACTATGGTTTATTGATTCAGCTGCAAATGACTGGATTCAAACGTCACTCTAAACCAGGAACTCTAATGGTGGGGTTCCCCTTGGGACTATCTTGGCTGATGCTCCTCCTGTTTGCTCCCAGAGGGAAGCAACCAAGCTGCTTCTTCATCTGGGTCAAGAGAGTGTTGTTTGAACATGATGAACTGGCCACTCGGTGGGTGGATCAGAGAAGCCCTGCAGCTCAGAAGAGCAGGTGAAGTTTTTCTCTGCTCTTCTGAGACCAGAAGGTCTTTCACTAGACCCAACGGCTAAGTGGAGACTAAGGCAGACGTATGCTTGGTGCGTGGTGTGATCCCCTGTATTCCTAACCGGCCATGTAGATTAACTTCATCAGCTTCCAGTGCACTTCTGGAGAAGTCCCTTTTGTTCTGGACACTATTCTGGACCAAGTGTCTTGTGTATTTTGGGATCTGTTAACACCTCTCTAAGTTGTCCCAGGCTTTCTAGACGATAGAGCTGAAGTTGGCCTTTGTATTGTGTGTTGTGGTCTCTCCTGGTCATGGAAAATGGCCTTGCCTTTGGATGGATGTGGCTTTATTTAAATCTCTCAAAGGCTCTTGGAGGAGAAAAGACAATATCTCATAGTCAGGAATGACAGGTCAAGAAATGGCAAGGTCATTGGATTAGCTGTGCCTAGTTGGTGCCGTCCCCAGAAGCATCTGACCCACAGCGGGGTTTGGCTCCCATGATTTAACATGGATCCCGGCTCATAGAGAAGAATGGATGGAGGATTTGCAAAACTAGTCTTCGGTAGTCCCCTTCTGACCAGCTTCATTGGTGTCTGTCACACTCCTACCCCTACTTCCTTGGGCCAGCTTATTTTATTAAGCTTCATACTAGCTTAACTACTACGGTCTTCCCTGTCCTTCCAAGCATGCTGGAAGTTGTGGTTTGAGGATGGCGCTGAGAAATTTGTACACCAGAGAACTTGCACCCTGTGGGCAGCCAGTGGCTGTACAGTTTGGTCCACTCTGTCCCAGGAAAGGCACTGAGAGTCCCAAACGAAAGGTGCTCCCTGGGATTTTCCTCCATGCACCAGCATGGTGGCCAGATGTCTGCAGCACTCCGGTGCTGCCATCGTAACAGCAGGAGAGGGAAGTGGGTCTGGTTGGTTCAGCCAAGCTGCATGGGGAAGCAGTGGGAGCTTAATTGAGCCTGTATAGTTCCTGTTCCCATAAGAGCTCCCGGATCCTCTCCCAGATGCAGAACCGGACCTCTTCTGAGACCTCCCCCTGCCCCCTCTCGTGCCTGTGGGGGTTTTTTGCTCCTTGGCTGCTTGATTAGACCAGGGGGATGTGCTTTGGAGCACAGCCCCAAGTGGATAGCAGTGTGCTTAGAGCCTTTGCTTGACCTTTAATTGGTGTTGGAAAAGACCAGATGGAAACCAAAGATTGATTGACTTTAATTGGAAATCCACAGCGTGAGATTGCCAGCTACCGAAAGGTTGTGGCGGCTGCTTCGCTGATTCTCCCCCCCACTCCTTTTTCTGTCTGGAGAGTGAGTGACTATACCATCACCCCGCCCTGTTCTCCCACCCTGCCCCAAGAGGCCTTCGTTAGCTCCGGTTGTTAGTATGTTTGGCGCTCTTTCCCCACACGCGACGAGCACAGAGGATGCTTACAGGAATGTCAGCATTTGCACACTTCTCCGTGTGTTACATTGCTAAGCAACTTTTAGAAACATTTACCCCCACTCTTCTCGCCATCTGGGAGAAGAAGAACTTGGTCTAGGCAGGCAACGGAGGGGGGGGCATTTAACAGAAAAAGGAGCCACGTTCTATGTTGGGGAACAGCCAGCGATTCGACTAATATATAAATGTGAGAAGAAGTGAAAAGCCAACACTGTTTTTTCGAAGGATGATGCAAATGCTTATGACAAAAGGAAAACTGATGATGCACCGACTGGCTCTTTTCCCACAGGCAGTCTGTCGCTTATGGGTGTTCGTCCTCCAGCCCAACTGGCTGGCTCCTGAGGATGCAACAGCTCTCCCTTTGGCGGGTTAAGAGCCCCCAAGCACCCATCTTCCCTTCTTTTTCTGCTGGGGGTGTCGCTGGCTAGAAGGAGGAGCCAAGGGTAGATTGGGATACAGTCCCCCAGGGTCTGTCACCCTCCTGGCCATTATTCCTGCTGGCCATCTCATTCCAGGATTGGCTCCCCTTAAAGGAGATCCTAAGCCTGTGTTGGACTACAGTTTCCCTTGTTCCCAGCCAAAAACCTCACCCCACAAGCCATCCTGGTCTGTGAGGCTTCCAGTCTGTGACAGCTGTCTGCTGTCTGACAGTATTGCCTCTTAAGGGGGTGGGAGGTTGTATGGGGAGGTTGGCTTCCATTTCTGATGTAAAAACCAGTTTCTAGGTACAAGGAATGTATTTTATTTCTGCACTGGGTCTGTTTCTTGTCTGATGAAAGCCACATCTGTTCACCTGGGTTCAGCATAAGCCATTCAGCCTGATTCCCGAACTAACCCACTTTGTGGGCTCGTCCAAGACGTTGAATCTTGAACTAGCCAAACAGCTTGAATCCACCCAACAGTCTTTAAGCTGCTAACCAGCATAGCAAAGGAGAATACTTACCAAGATTAGCACGTGCTTAAAGCCTCCCACCCCTTGGCAATTTTTAATTCATGGTATACCCATAGGTGGAGACTAACAAACTGACCAAAGGGAGCTACTTTATACCAGTGTTTCTCAGCCTTTTTTTGCCCATGGCCCCCTTCTGACCTTGTTTTTCTCCTAAGGCCACCCCCCGGCCAGGTCCCATTACCAGATGCAGGCATGGAATACTAACTGGTGCATTTTCTGGTGTCAGTAAAATAGTATTTGCAGTATAATACACTTTGATTTTTTGTGGCCCCCTCACAGATGCCACGGCCCCCCATTACATGTTTTTCCCCTGTGGCGCCCTTGAAATATTCTAGGACCCCCAGGGGGCTATATAGCCCGTGGTTGAGAACCGCTGCTTTATACCACATCAGGCATTGACTGGACTCCAAGATTATGCTAAGCCCTGTTTTGATTAAGCATGGTTTGTTGAATCAGTCGTGGTTAGCTGAGCTTATGTAACCTGGTCTGCCACCATAGTTCAGTTTGCAGTGATGTTCTCTGTGCAGTCCCTGGGACTCCTCCTAGAGAGGTATTAATAAGTGTGGCCTGGCAGGAATTAGTTAGCCTCTCCCAGTACCTGCAGAGAAGGAGAAGTGATGCACACACATGCACACGCGTGTGCATACTTGCACGGAACCCTCAGATCACTCTTGCCTTTTCATAACAGCCTCCTGAGTGAAAGTATTTTCCGTGGCATGCTGGGGAAGGAGTGATGGAAAAAGCAGAACAATCCCAGTTGCTGCAGCAACATGGTCCCCCCCTCTTCCCCCAGTGCCTGCTTTTCAGTGGCTTGGGCAGCTGCTCCCCTTCTCTCCCCACGTGTCCCCCTCCCCTCTATTTTGGAGACAAGTTGCTATGAGTGTAAAGAAGAGCTAGTGGCAGAATTGGAGTCTTTGGATCCATCTGGGATTTGCTGGCAGCTTGGATAAATTTAGAGTCATAGTAGCACTTTGTTCCACACGAGAGCCACCCTTCCGTCAGCCGTCAGCGCCTGGATCCCGGCTGTCACACACGTGCACCCACGCATGCGCAAGCCCGCCCGGTCGATCTGAATGGCCACGTGCAGCTGAAGCAGAGAACCAGTGGCTTGCGCTACCCTTCTGACTTGTGAAATGACTCACATGGTAGGCAAAGAGGGAATCACCTCCCACCCTCAGGTTTTCTAGCTCTGGTCTGCTCTCGGTTAGGGTTAGGGTGTGCGGTCACAAGCTCACAAGGGTCCGATTGTCTCTCTCCTCTAGACTTTTGCAGGTTGCAGTCCGGTCTTAGATCACCTGAGGCTGTGAAATGGGCACTGTTTTGTTGTTGTTGTTGTTGTTGTTGTTGTTGTTGTTGTTGCAAGGACAAGCTCACCTTGGCAGACCCCAGGGGCTGAGAGTGCCCCAGCCACACCATGTTGCCGGGTCAAGCCAGGGGAGTCCTGAGACCTGCCCTGTCTGCACCTAAAGCAGGGCCATTCCTCAATGGGCCACATCCTGCCCCTTCCCTTCTGGACCACAGAAACGAGGTTCTCCCCAAATGTTCTCTTCACTGCTGTACTGCGTCATCTTGGGTTTTTCTTTGGACGGGCTTTCTCCACTGCCCCCTGCCTCACCTGCTGTTCCCACTTGAACACTTTCACAGCCCTTTTGGAAGCATGCTTCTAAAGAGCCCCAACCTGCCCCTCCCCTGGCCTGTCCATAGCCCCCCACTTGGCTCTTGGACACGTTTGACATAATCGTTTCTTTCTAGAGTCGCCCATGCTGCGATCTAAATTTGAAACCAATTCATATCTCTGCTCACTTTCTCTCTCTCTCTCTCTCTCTCTCTCTCTCTCTCTCTCTCTCTCTCTCTCTCTCATCTTTTATCCTTTTTTCCCCCTTCCTCTGTTTGAAGGGACAGTGGAGAAATGATACATTCAATGGACAAGGCTGTATGATCCATTGTTCGGGTGTCATCTACGATGGCCTCTGGCATAACGGCTCCCCTATGGGTACGTAGTCTTGTGCAATTTGGTCCATAATGAGACCCCAGAATAATGCCCTCCCTTTCACTTGATTGATTTGATTAGCATCGCCATCAATTCCATTCCCAGAACGTGTCAGGCCAAAGAGTTTAAAAGCACCAGTGAACCCAGGGTGGGGATTTCTCTAGGCCGGGGAATGGAATCTATTTTGAGCACAATTCTGAAGCCCCAGTTGAAACGCTGCTGGAGGAGTCCTCTTTTCATGCATCAGCCCCATTCTCGCCTCAGGAAAAGAAAAGGAAACTTTAGGAAAATTGCCAGGAGTTTGTGGTTATCCCAGCTAGGAATCCCTCTGGTGGGCAGTAATGCAGCACCTGCAAAAAATAAAAAACAAAGACTTCTCCCCAACGGGCAGCCATCACACTATGCCAAAGTTCAACAACCAGCCTTGGTGGAGAGAGAACTCCTTATTTTATTTCATACATATTTATTTATGTCTGAAAGGCTCCTGAGAATGGCTTGGTAAACAATTAATAAAAATAAGTTAGATTGGATCCCTCCTGTGGACACTGGGGACTCACACAGAGGGAAAAGGTAATAAGGGAGGTGGGGGAGGGGGTAAGAAAAGACCACCAGAAAATGCAGGCACCAGTTCTTAATGTAACAACCAAAGGAGCCAGAGTGAGTTTTGAGGGGGGGCCCAGTTGGTAAATTAACCCTCGCCCCGCAGATCCAGTGGTGGTGGTTATTCCTACAAGGCAGTTGACTTCAGTCCAGCTAAAAACAGCAGCAGTGAACGGCAATGAAAGCGCCTTATTATCCGCAAGGATGCAGAACTAGTGATTTGTCAGATATACTGAGCTGTAACTCTCAGCGGTCCCAGGCAGCCTGGCTCGTGCTGAAGAATGCTGGGAGTTGTGGTTCCCAACATCTGGAGAGCCAGTGGTTCACCTTCCTTGAAGGAAGGATGGAATAGAAGAGAAAGGGTTTGTGAATTAAGGCTGCTACTCCAGAATGATGGGAATGTCAAGGACATCGGAGCTCGGCTTGAGAATGATACCATCTGAGTCTTAAAGCCTCACCTGGTGGAGTTACCATAAATACATAGGATGAGGTCTTCTGGTGCAAAAGGAATAAAACTGTGCAACACTGAGAACAGCATTTTTTAAAGGAAAGGTCATACCAGTACCCAGTAATGTTTGTCAAGGCATCCTCTGTCTAAAAAATTATTTCCACAACCAGTGGGAGCTGCTATCAAATTAATTTAATTTCTTCCATAAACTTTAGGAATTGTAGTTTTCTGTGAAAGAGACCAGATACATTCTTGAGGCAATGATGAGTACCACTTCAGTTGCTTCAAAATATTCGTTGTCTGCATTTGGAGGCTGCTTCTTGTGAGAAATGTTGCCCCAAAGTCCTGTCCCAGAACCCTAACTTTATGAAAAAAAATGATGTTTGAATGTCCTAGTTTGTTTTTTCAGAAGTGATAACCACCAAGGTTTGTTGAACATTTGCAGGGCAAGCAAAGACGATGGTGATTTTGGGACCAGAGGTGATGGATACAGGCCCAGGATCGGTTGTTACTTTTCATGTTCAACTGCAGACTGAAAAAGGAGAGATTTCTAAAAGTAAGAATGCTTTTCTGAAAGCTCTGCAGCACTCTGTAAAATAATTTCTCAGGATGGCCAGAAATATAGCCCTTTTTATTTCATAGGGTTAATGCCCGGTGTTCTTAGGGTTTTATGAGGATTTGAACTAAAAAAAATATGGTCCGTGCTGTTTTCATCTGCTGTGGACTCTTTTGGTTTTGATCAGGTGGAGATATCAAATGGTAGCCAATAACATTTGCAAATAAATATTCTCGCTTTCCTACAAATGTGAACAGAATCAAGCTAGTTTAGCATACAGCAGATGGCAGGATCAGACCTGGTTAATACTTCATGGGGAGCCCAGCAGAATATCCTAGGTCTAGACTCTGGCACTGAAAAAAGAAATACTAAAGAGGACAATGTCAGACTACTTCCATATTGTAAAGAGGAAATGAAAAGTTGAGCTCAACTCAGAGGAGACTTGACTTACCAACTTAATTTAATTTCTGATACCACAGTCTGGCAGTGTTGGAAGAGGGCTCGTAATTCTTTATTGGCAGCACCTACATGATGGTCTCTTGGATTTCTTGGCCAGGATTTATAATGAGTGAGTTTCAACCTGGTTTACATTTGCAGGGTGGGTGTATTTTTGGACTCGTACCAATCCATCACAAACTCATGTAATGAGTCTTGACAGCTTTGACTGTCTGAGAAGCGAGTGAGAAGATTCCCCATCATTTAGGGAATCTGATGATTTACCCCAAATACATACAGCCAACTTGCCCAGGGAAGCCCCAGCATGCTCAGAAGCCATAGAATTTTAACAGTGGCTTGAAAAAGTAAAGTAGGTTGATTGATTATATATCTTCAAAGTGGTGTCGACCCTTAGCTCCAAATAGATAGAGTTTCTCCAGGATGATCTTTCCCCAGGCTAGCCCCTCAGATCTTCCAGTGGTGAAATAAAGGAGACCAGAAAATAAATGTACTTTTTTGAGTATCTGTAACCACTTCTACATTCTGGAAGAGTCGGGGTAAGCCACGCTTACAGATTGACTGACATCCATTTCCAGGCAAGAAGGCATGAGGGTATTTTTTGTGGCTCCATCTTTTTCCCTGGCATGTTTTGCTGTTGAGCAGGAGACAACTGGGACATGGAGCTGCTATTTACATTTCTCCTAAGTGCTTCCTGCAAAGTTCTTCTAGGAGCATCATGGAAGTTTACAGCGGCAGTAATGTGGGCTGCCATTTTAATTTAACTTTTTACCATCCTCCAGACTGATGGAACCTTCAGGCCCAGGAGCACCCAGGTTTCCATGCACAAGGGTTTTCTTTCCTGTGTATTATTTCCTACCCAAGTTTCATTCTTCACAGATTAAGATTGCCCAGCCTTCTTCTTCCTGAAATAGGAATAACAACGGCCCTGTACAAACTAACACATTAGAAGTTGGGCAGTTCAAAGCCAAACTCAACCTAAATCATCTTTCTGTCTTTTTGTACTGTATACTGGTTCTAATTTTTCTTACTGGAGGCTCAAGAGAACCAGCACATATGCATCTCCCTTTCTTAAAGACTCTTTCTTTGGATCCAATGGCTGTTCTCCTTTGGGCTCCCTAGTCGTGCTTCTCTGTATTACTAATTTCCTCTTAATCCCAGATAACCACAGCCATTCTTGTTAGAAGATTCCTTCTTAGCCCTTTGCTAATTACTGATTGCTATTAAAAAACAGGAAGAAAAAAGAACAATTTTAATGAAGCAAGGGAAGCTCTGATTTAGAGAAAGAAAAGGAGAGGAAATTTTCTGTTGATCGCAGAAGAGGTGCTTGGACCTCCACGTTTTGTTTCAGATTATTGCAGGAGAAGTCAAGGCTGTCTGCGGCAGGTGATGGTAATTAAATGACTGTACCTGCCTACGTTTTTCAGAAATGATGATGGTTCTGTTTGTGGGCTTGTTGTGAATGTGTTGTTTGTGTTATTTCTCTTCTCGCCTTCCCCTTCCCTGCAAAAAAATCTGGACCATGTTCTGATGCATCCCATGGGAAGAATGTCTTCTTCCATCCTTGGCTTTAGCGTTTGAATGGAAACATGCTTTGTTTTCTTTGACATAGAAATAGACCTTGTAGAAGCGTAGGGAGAAAGAAGATGTGCTGTCATAAAAGAACATTGAAAACAGGATGTTATATGATAGAAGATCATTCTGGGAACAGTAGAGTTCTTTCTGCCTATTGTTTGGGTTCTGTTGCATGTGGGTTCCAGACAGACCATGGCGAATGGAGTCTAAGAGAAGTCTTTTTCCTTCTTTCACAACATTAGTTCTTGGGAGCATCTGTTGAAACCAAATACAAGGAGATTCAGGACCAGTAAAAAGGTGGATTTCTTTACACAGTGCAGGTTGTTGGGAGGCAATTAATCTTCTACCCATGCTTGGGAGCTTCCCAAACATCTCTGGCTGAACTAGATGCTCCAGAAGTTTTTGCTTCTTTGTAGAACCCAACCTTAATCCTCAGAGCTGGCTGTAAGCAGCAGATTAAATAATGGCTTATTTTGCCTTGTTCTTTGATTGGTTAGGCGAAAGGGGTCGACTGCTGGAGATTACTGCTGAGATCAAAAAGTTCCAGTTTCCAGCAAGCTACAGAACCAGCTTCAATGAATTGCTTGAACCAACTGAGAAGCAGTTCTTCCAAAACTCTTTGTAAGTGACATGGAGAAAGTCATCATTTGGCTTTTCCTTGAGCCTCCAGTTTGGTTTCATTTTTTGTGGGCACGTTCTGGATCTCAAGGACTTCTAAGCCATGTTATGCTTAATCAGGGTTGGGTGAATATGACACAGATGGCTAATTCAGTGAAACCATGCCCCATAATTGACAAACCACAATGGGTGGGGTTAGCTAAATCCACAGCAACTCCTTCGGATTGGGAAAGACACCCATCTGAACCTCTGGAGCAGGCTAAGAATAGGTGGCCAGATCTCCTCCAACACTGATTCACACACCGTGTTAAGCTACTGCATTGTTTGTTCGAGTTTGGCTTAACACCATGGGCGAACCCAACATTATGGCTTATAAGCCCCAGTTTATGGTTTAGCTTATGTATGAACTAGGCTGCTACCAGTTTTTCAACAGGCCATCCTCAAAACCAACCATAGCTTTGCACAGGATAAGCAGCTTGGTGCCCACGAGCCTCAGTGTGCCCTCTGAAGCCTCATGGCCCATCAGTCCTTCTGCCCACCCAATTTTTGAAAAGATTTTTAAAATTAAAATAATTAAACAACTGGAACAGTCCACTATTCTCTGGCAATATTTGTTCCCAGGAATGCTTCCTAAGGGGTGGCTGGTAACTGTTTGTGCTCACGATGATGGATATTTTGTGAATAGAAACATCTCCCTTGGCAACCACTTTGTGACTGCCCTCACCTCATGCTTTCCAAATTCCAGATGTGCTCTCAGCCCAAAGGGTTGTCTACCTTGGCTCCGTCACCTTGGCTATTATTTGAAGTCTGCTTTGCCACAGCCAGCCCATGAATATCTTGTATGATTAGAGTCACTTTGGGTTGGCACCTCCTCCTTTGTCTCAGCTGAGTTTGGAAATCATCTCCCTGGTATCCAGATGTAGTGAATCAGAAAGCACAAAAGCCTGCACAGGCTGTAACACCGGAGAGGCATACGTTGATGCCTTCTGGCCTCCCGAAGAAGAGAATAAACCTGGCAGTCCATCAAGGCAGACTGTGTTTGAAAAACCCCGCACGAAAGGCAGTGCTCTACTCCATTAAGTAGAAGGCACTGACAGAACAAGAGGAATCATGTTTTTATGGGGAATTCCTGGAGGAGGGTTAGGCTGAACAAGGTTGTCACAACTGTTCCTTTAGCTGACAAAGCACTGAATCCTTACAAACAAGAGACAGGGTAGCCCAACCACCTTGTTAGAGCCACATGCCTTGTTTTCAAAAAGCCTGTTATCTGGCCTCAGTGTGTTTTGCCCATGAAGGGGCCACTGGCCAGTGAGAACTTTCTCCTACTTTGCACATGTCTCCTTTTGGAGAACAGTTCACTGTGAAAATCCTCTGGCCGGCCCCCCTCTTTCATCTCCGGCAGCGTGGATGTTCCACATCATATCACCCGCCTTGTGTTTATGGCTTCCAACCGTAACATCTGCGCCCAAGTCAGTCTTGGTTCTGTTTTCTTTTGGCAGGAAGTTTGGGAGCGTCGGCTATCCTTTGATGGCTGCTGTGTCTGGAAGCCTACCATTGCAAGACGCTCCACCAGTTGTCAGCAAATCTGGACACACTGGGCCTGAAGCACCAGCCTCCAAAGAAAGGAAGCCAGAACCCAAAACAAAGTTCCCGGCTGGTGCAGGAGGTGCCCTTAACAGCCGGAATAGTAAGTAGCAATAATGATGTTGGTTTGAGCATTTGCATTTCCACAATTAACCAAGAAAGGTTACAAACAAGTTAAGAAAGAAATCTGTTGTGGCTTTTGTATGCTAATGGACAGCTGTAAGAACATTTGATGGGGGGGGGAACAAAGTTCCCGGCTGGTGCAGGAGGTGCCCTTAACAGCCGGAATAGTAAGTAGCAATAATGATGTTGGTTTGAGCATTTGCATTTCCACAATTAACCAAGAAAGGTTACAAACAAGTTAAGAAAGAAATCTGTTGTGGCTTTTGTATGCTAATGGACAGCTGTAAGAACATTTGATGGGGGGGGGTGAAGTTTGTCACTGGCATCCTTCAGAAGAAATAAGAGTGGTTGATGGCTGAAGTTCTTGGATCAGTCCAAGCCTGCTTTTGAAACGGGATTCGGCAGAGACATGCTCGGTGGTAGCATTTCAGCAGCCCCTTTCCTTGTTGCTTTTGCCAAGCAAAGATGCCCATCTTTTGAAAGCAGAGAGAGAATAAAAATCACTTAGGGGAGAAAGCTGGTGTTTCTTGGTCGCTGACGCTTAAGTTGCAAGCTCAGGCATGACTGTCTGTAGGCCCAACCCTATCCTGTTTTGGCAGCTCCTAAGCTTTGCCTCACTCAAATGCTGCCGTGGCTAGGTCCTTGTCACTGAAGCAAGTGATATAAGAAGGCAACAAGTGAATGGATAATTCCTCTAACTCCCAAACTTCCTTTCATTCCACCTGCACCTCTGCCCCACTGAGAGACACTGAAGGCATTCTCAATTTCTGTTTCAGTGCCTGTTTTATAAGATCATGGAAAAGGAAACAATTGAGAAGGCACTGGTTTCTTAATTTGGGGGAACGTGAATCCAGAACAAAACCCAGGTTACTTGAAAGGCAGATCAGACTGTAGATTGGGGAAGAAGAATTCAACTTGTGCTAAAGGGGCTGATGAGCACAGCAGAGAGCTCTGCTTAGTTTTGTCCCCGAGTTTGAAGGCTACCTTTCATCAGGGGCCAAAGGAGCTTTTGTATTGTTAAAACAATTGTGCCCAACTGACTAGACTGTCAAGTCTGAGAGAGAGCTGATGGTCTAAACTGAGTCTAAACTAAATTCAACAGATGTGACTAAGCCTCCAACACTGTTTGGCTCTTTTGGGTAGCCAAACTGGATCTAACAAATTAACATTTTGTCCTTCCTCCAGAATGTTTTGGGCAACCTACTTAGGATAAGTCCACAGTCCTGTAAAATAAGATTAAGAGAAAGCCCTCCCTGCACCCTATGAATTTCTTGCCTGAGCCAGGATTTCCAACTGCATCTCTCTAGGGCAGTGTTTCTCAGCCTTGACAACTTTAAGATGTGTGGACTTTCACTCCCAGAATTCCCCAGCCAGCCATGGGGAATTCTGAGAGTTGAAGTCCACACGTCTTAAAATTGCCAAGGTTGAGAAACACTGCTTTAGGGTCTAATCTGACAGTCTGAGAAACTGGTTGTCGTACCTCCTAATGGTGCTTTAGGCCCTGATTCAAATTGCCCTCAGGATTTTGCCTGGAGAGAAAATGTTAATGCATGTGGGTGGAATGCAGCAAAAGAATTTCAGGAGAAAGCTGCAGCGATTTTGAAAAATGGAGGGAGCTTTCTTTGCCCATCATCCCTGGCTCGAGTTCCTCACCACCTTGCATGGGCCTCCCTTCCTTTCTCTCCAAATCCACCTACTCAGAATTGTGTCTCAAGGTTTATTATAATCCCCGTGAGTCAAAATTGCCAACTCATCTTTTATATAAATATACATTCACTACCTATATTGTTATTTTGGCTTCCTAAAGGGCTGAACTGACAGATGAGCTGACACTTTTCTTTATAAATACTCTGGTATTATTTTACAGGCCAGTTATTTCTGAAATTATTCATGGAAACCCGAACATTGAGATCTTGGGAGTTGAATCTGAGTTTAATCACTCTGGTTTATTGTGAGCCATAATATTAAATCCGCCCATATAACTTGATACATTGTAAATACATGATTTGAATCTTAATTCACTCGGCTCACTAGACAAATTAGGGAGAAGCTGAGCGGTTGTAAAAACAACCTCTATATTCGGGCTCAGGAAAGTTTATTTTGATAGCCCCAACATACGCAGAACGCTTTGCTTGTCCTTTTTTGCCGTTTCTGTTTTGGTCATATTAAATTTAGTTAGGCTTTGTTTCTACTCTCCAACCAAAATAAATGTTTATAAGGGCCTTATTTAACATCTGACCTCTGCTTTAAGTTACCGGAAGATTTAGAATAGTAAATAAACATGTCGTTTCTTGAGTCTTCCCTTTGGGGGAGTTTCTGGAGTAATATTCCTGATTTTGAACTGAAATATATTGAAGAAAAATAGGATGAAGCAACCCAAAGGGGGTAAGGTTCTCTTATCCAGCTGGTACAAGTAAATAACATTTGGGGCCCTGTAATTAATACTTGAGAGCCAATTGGTTGCAGTGGGGAAGTTGCTGGACAAGAAACAGGGTGAGTTATAGTCCTTCCTGAGGCATGAACGCCAGTGAGAGGACTTTGGGCCAGCCACTCTGTCTCAGCCCAAGCCACTTCACAGGGTTGCGGGGGAAAATAGGGGGAGGGAGCATTATGTACACTATTAAAGTCATGTATTCATCTAATAGTAATACTACTTAATAATAATAACAGCTCCAAAAATTTCAGCCAATATTGTTCGTAGTGGTCCTGGTCCAGAGCATCAGGTTGAAGAAGATGACTGCTGTGATTTTAGAATGAGACCTTAATTAGCTGGTAACATCTCTTCTTCCTTCCTTCCTTCCTTCCTTCCTTCCTCCCACCCACCCACCCACCCACCCACCCATCCATCGGTTCTTTTTCCAGCAAGGTTTTGCAGCTGGCTGTTTGAGCAAAAGGTTGGCCCAGGATCAAAGCACCTCAGGAATAACTTCTGCTGATGGGTAAATTATGAGGTCCTTGAGGCTTTTGTTCACCCTGTTCTTTTAACATGGTGGTAATAACCTAGTGATAGAAATGTATCCAACCCTATGAACTATTGATGAACTGCCAACAAAATAGAATGCTGAAAGGTTCTGAGCGCAGGGCCTTTTTCCTTTAGAAGGGGGTGTGCTTGACTTTCTGGTTTTAAAGCAGTAATGACATCTGACACTGGATTAAAAGTCATTTCAGGGGAAGCTCCCCCTCCCTTAATAGCATTGACTACTTACCTTGACCGTGCTAGTTTCTTTCATCCCATACTGTGGAGGGAGATTTTCAGATGAACGTTACATCTACAGAATGAAATATATTATATGTTTCTCCAGGGAGCACAACACCCTACAGCAACCTGGTCCTCCTCTCTATTTTTTCTTTAGCATCTTCATAATCCCAGGAGAAATAGAAGAGGCCCAAGACCACTCATTGTCTAATTTAGCTTATTCCATCATCCTTGCCCATGAGGGTTATTCCTGGAGTTGGATTTAAGTTTGACTGAAATACCAATCCAGCTGGGATACACCACTTCATCTGTCCAGGGTGACCCATATACATCATTAGCCCTTGGCATTGTGGGATTGAAGGGACAGTGACAATGGCTTTAGTGCTGGGTTCTTTGGAGACTAGAGTTTTGGCAGGCACCCAAGGATGGTGATGCCCAGCCCAGTCATTCAGCCAACACATCTCCTCAGCTGCCCTAGTGCATGCTTCTGGCCATGTACATTGATGTATACTCAAGTTATTAAGAGTAGCATTATTCTGTTTTATCAGTTCCTTGTAAAGCTGCCCATAGTCTTATGGAGTTGGGCAGCCTCTAAATCAATCAATCAATCAATCAATCAATCAAATAAATAAATAAATGGAAAAGAAAGGGGGCGTTTAATAAAGTCCACCCCAATTTTATCTGACTTCTTTTTCCTCTGCTCAAGTCCCAGCTGTCTCCTGTACACTTCTAAAATCCATAGTTGAACGAAAACATCACAGCAAATGAAGTGAGAACCTGGATCTGTCTGTCTTCCCGCTATTAATGGGAGAATTTGATCCCCAACATCCCCTTGGAGATAGAATAGCCTTTTGTAACATGGTAGAAGGGAGAATTATTAAGCAAATAGGAATCATATTAATTACCTTTTCATTGGATGCTACCAAATCTAGGTTTTTCCTGACTCCCAGCAGATTTTTTTGTCTTGCTCTCCTACATTTTTTTCAGGAATGTCTCCCTTGCTCTTCAATCCCCAAATGACTGTACATTTCTGCTGTAGTGTTATTAGAACCAGCGGTGTCATCCATTAAGATGACTGGCAGAAGTTTCAGACAGACCAATAGAAACCTTTCTGTGGAATTTACTATCATGAGATCAATTGGGATGGCTTTAGAAAGAGATGAGGTTGTCAGTGTCCCAGTTATCAGAGGTGGTAAGCTAGGGAGCCCAACTTACACTCATGTCCTGCTTTGAGGTTTCCATCCAAGTTCTTAAAGTTCTTAAGATGTGCTCATCAAACTCCTGCTTATCAAAGTTCCATCCATCTCAGGAGCAGAAGGAGATCAGCTGAGGGATGGGAATGCACTTCTGTTTTATCCACTCTGGTCACCAGGGAATTGCTTGCACGCCACCCAGAGTGAAAACAAAAATCTTGAACCCGATTGTCTCCTGTCACTTCTTCACAGGAAGAGAAGGTCTTTCTTTCTGGAATGCAAGTGAAGATGCCCAGAAATCGATATTGGAAATAATGAGACGACAACAAAAGCTGCCATTGTCTTCTGTATCAGAGAATAGCTTTAATTGGAAAAGAGACCTTTACCTGAAGGAAACCAAGATTTTTCTGTGGGCAAAGGTCATATTTTGAGCTTCAGTCTTTTTGTACTTGCATAGATGCCTTGCAAAAAAAACGTTCAGCCCGTGCTGGGGTATAAAGTCCCAGATTTCCCAGAATTTCTGCATCCTTTCTTACAAACTCTAACCATTGGCCCCTCTCCACCAATTTTAAGCACGGCCTTCCTGTCGTT